AATGGGTTGCCTTATTGTACAATAAACGGAGGAGAGGTAGGGGGGTGGAGAGGGAGTGGGGAGGAGGTGGTAACCAGGTAACAGCCTCGTCATGATGATATTCTTTGTTTTGGTCCTTTTTTTTCTCTCTTTCTTTTTTTCTTTTTAAAGGAGGAGGAAAATTACCACTGATGGAGGTGCGTATGTGAGGGTGTAACAAGAGATGCAAGAACGAAGGAAGAAGAGGGAAGAGAGATAAAGGAAAGGAAAGGAGGGGGATGGTAGGAGGATGGAAACTAGGTACGGACTCAGATTTAATACATTATGTGAAAGAATTCTGAACATCAGTACATTTCGAAAAGTAGAGAACAAGTGAAGGAGTGTAGCCATCGCGATACCTGTGTATACGTAACAAAGAAACACTCGGAACAAAGAAACAAACGACATGAGAAACGGACAAAGTAGAGGGGGATGTGAAGGTCACGAGAACAGCCGTCGGATCTTTCCCCGTTATTGTTATTATTGTTATTATTATCATTATTATCATCATCATTGCTCTTCCCTTGTTTCGGGGGATTTTAAAACAAATGAATCGGAAAATATGATTACAAATGCGTGTGCATATATTTTTCTACATGATTAAATACATTTAGATAGGTATCTATCTACGCATTCATGAGTTAAGTTGTTTAGTATCTACATGCGTGTGGGCGTTTATATATAGTGGTAGACTGACAGATAGATGGGTTAGCTAGATTAACCGATAGATTCATATGTAGACAGGTGGATAGACATATATGTGTGTGTGTGTGTGTGTGTGTGTGTGTGTGTGTGTGTGTGTGTGTGTGTGTGTGTGTGTGTGTGTGTGTGTGTGTGTGTGTGTGTGTGTGTGTGTGTGCGTGCGCGTGTATGTGTATAGAAAAGGTATGAATGAAAACGAATATCTTCACAATATAAGAGATAGACTGATAGATAAACAGACTGAAGCTGCTACGTCATAATTATTAACGGTACTGTCGTGAAATCTCATTCCTGTTGCAAAGCGTGCTGTCACCATGACTCTGCGTGTGTACTTTTCTCGGGGAAATTTAGTTAAACATTAAACTGGAACGCGTGAATTTATTTCTTTATCGTAAATATTCACATTACTCGCATAAATGATAAGTAAATAAAGAAATAAATAGTTAAATGATTTGATACATAAGTTGATAAATAAGTTAATTGATAAATGAGTAGATGCATAAATGAAGTGATAAATAAAGAATTAAGTAAATACAAAGATTAAAGAGTTCCGCGGATTTTGAGGAGAAATAGTGAGGATATTTGTGGATAATAACAGAGTAAGTGAAGAGAGAAGTAGAGAGAAGTACTTGATACACATTTTAATTTTATTTTCTTCCGTTTCTTTTTTTTCTAATGCGTGTTTTGTGTTGTAATACAG